ACATTTTAGCTGAAGATCATAAGGAACACAATGTCCAAAATAAAACTTCATGAAATACCAATTTTTCAAAGGAAAAATTATTAAAAAATTCAAAGAAAAACTCTGTAATATTGTATGATTTAAATAATTAGTTTCTGAGATTTTTAAGGAAAATTTATTTCTATAATAATTATTATAAGTTTATTTTCATAATGAAAGATAAACATTTTACATTTTAGCTCAAGATCATAAAGAACACAATGTCCAAAATAAAACTTCACGAAATATCAATTTTTCAAAGGAAAAATTATTAAAAAATTCAAAGAAAAACTCTGTAATATTGTATGATTTAAATAATTAGTTTCTGAGATTTTTAAGACAAATTTATTTTTATAATTATTATTATAAGTTTATTTTTATAATGAAAGATAAACATTTTACATTCTAGCTCGAGATCATAAGAAATACTTAGAATGTCCAAAATGAAACTTCATGAAATAACAATTTTTCAAAAAAAAAATGATTAAAAAATTCAAAGAAAAACATTGTAATATAGTATGATTTAAATAATCAGTTTCTAAGATTTTTAAGAAAAATAAATTTTCAATTATCTTTTACATCAAGGTCACTTCAAGGTCACTCAAAGGTTACTCTCAGGTCACCTCAACGTTCAAGATCACTCTACGGTCACCAAAATCATTGAATGTTGAAATCACGTACAAACTTACGTGATCAGAACTCCATAGCACAACTTAAGAAATACCTTTTATAAAAACAGAATTTCACCGCAATTTCTAACAAAACATTTCTGCGTCGAAAATTGCTTAAATTTTCAGGCGAACTTGCGTATAAAACTAATGTTATAAATCAAGCGAGAGTAACATAAATCGCGAAACGCGTCTGACGCACAAAGTGTTGCTCTCGGAAAAGCCAGAAAAACAAAGAGAAAGAAGAAATAGAAAAGCGAGGGGGAGAGACACCGCGAAGCGACAAGGTTGAAAAGACGACGAAGAAAAGTGTGTCTATGTCGCTAGACTTTCTTCCGCAATCATCGCGAGCTTTCGAGTGCATCAACAACGCGTGTCGGGGTTCGTCTGTTTTAATTATGACGCAGTTGGAGCATATTACGCTGTGGTGCCGAAAATACGTCGATGAAAGACCCGCGATGACGCTCGAGACCGCTCGGGGGAACGGGATTACGTTTAACGCGAATAAATTACTTGCGTGCGATCTTTAAAAAGTTCTACGAATTATGTCTTTTTCCCTCTGCGATCATTTGCCCGGGGATTTCACGAGATATTTAGGTTGAAGATGGCGGAATTTGAAGAGAACTGGTAATGTGATATTGGGGAAAATATTTTTTAATTTTGATAACTGATGATTGTTTTGTGGATGATTTTGAGGTGTTTATTGAGGGCTGTAGTGTATTTTAGTGGAATGGGGTTGTGGAATTTTGGGACAATTTTGGGATGTTGAGATGGGAAGTTAGGAATTTTTGTATTTTGGAGATGGAAGTTTGAAGTCTGAGGTTTGGACCTGTGGAAATTTGGAATTTTTGGAGTTTGAGGGGTCGGAAGGGAAACGTGGGATTTTGAAGTTTTGGAACTTTGGAACCTTGAAATTTGGTAATTTAGAAATTTTAAAATGCAGAAACTTGGTAATATGAAAATTTGGTAATGTAGAAATTGGAAGATGTAATTTGTTAATTTAGAAATTTGGGAATATAGTGATTAGGGAATGTGGAGATTTGGGAATGTGGGAATTGAGGAATGTGGGAATTGGGGAATGTGGGAATTGGGGAATGTGGGAATTGGGGAATGTGGGAATTGGGGATGTGGGAATTGGGAAATGTGGAAATTTAGGAATGTGGAGATTGGGGAATGTGGAAATTTGGAAATGTGGAAATTTGGAAATGTGAAAATTTGGAAATATGGAAATTTGAAAATATAGAAATTTGGTAATTTGAAAATTAGAAACACAGAAATTTAGAAATCTGAAAACAGTAATATGAAAATTTGCAAATATAAGACCTTGCAAATTCCCAAACTTGCAATTATAAAAATTAAAAAATTTGAAAATATAGAAGCTTGATAATCTAAAAATTTGAAACTTTGAAATATCAAAATTTCGTAAAATAACATTCAAGTTACAATGCACTACCCCTAACTAACTGTATACATAATTAATCTCATTATCGCCATATTTTGACCAAATTAATCCACAATCATGCAAGCTAAACATAATTCAACAAATCTAAATTTAACTTCGTTTATGAATATTTCGACCTCCAATCTAAAAATACATACATTACTCGAATTAAGTGATAAAATGATAAGTGAATTTTTCAAATTATTGACGCAAAGGCAAGAATAAAATGAATAATTGATACACAGTATCACGGATCGTACCTGCACTTGCCATTCAAGTAAATGATACATAAACATTAACGCTATAAAAGTTGATTATCGAGATAAAAAAAGTTGACTGTGACATCGTCCGAATCTATTATTACCGTAATGAAAAATGAGCTTGTTCGATGACTGCTTCCACTTCCAATTACAGTAATCATAAATTCATACGTTTTTCCTTATAATAATTATATTCATACCTACTTTACACGAAACGCAAACTTCAGTTATTGCTAGATAAAAGACGCAGTTATGTTAATTTCCCTGTAACCTGCACTGTAATCAGCTGCATTTTTTTTCTAATTTTTCATATTTTTATCTTGGACTTTTTACATTTCTTTGTTTCATTGATTTGTTAATTTTTATCTTTTCAAATTTTTATTTTTTCAGATTTTTATATTTTCAAAATTATCAATTTCCAAATTTCTAGATTTCCAAATTTCCAAATTTCTAAATTTCTAATTATTTAAATTTCCACATTTCCAAATTAGCAAATTAGCAAATTAGCAAATTAGCAAATTTCCAAATTTCTATATTTCTAATTTTCCAAATTTCCAAATTTCTATATTTCTAAATTACTAAATTGTTCAATGTTCAAATTTTAAAATTTCTAAATTTCTAAATTTCCAAATTTCCAAATTTCCAAATTTCCAAATTACTAAATTACCCTATTTCTAAATTTCCAAATTTCCAAATTTCAAAATTCCCAAACTCTCAGTTTCATAATTTGCAAACATCCCAATTCCCAGCAATCAAATTTACCAAATTGCATTAATAAATCTAATAACCTACTAATAACTAATAATCTTCCCAAACAATTCCTCTTACGCCACCATTTATTATGAAACAATCTTAAAAAAATTATCTGAACCACCATTTGTCAAAATAACAGTTTTATACCGCCCATTAAAAATAAAAGAGATTATTCGAACGATAATTCGATCGTATAAAAATGTATACGTCGATAACGAGCAAATTACGATTCATTATTTCCATTATTTCTATTATCTACCGTCATTATCTATAGTTATCTAACATTTGAATAAGATTTCGCTCTTCTCGATCGTAGGCGTATCTAACCTCGAATCGTGCACGACCGATGTGTATAAATTATTACGGACGTAATAACGTTCGCAAATGTAGAATGCTACCGCGCATGTTAATTTTACAGGCATAACGCAGTTACATCCCTGTGTGGGAAGTTGCTCGTGTAACCTTTACTTAACTAGCGATAAATACGATTACATTGGTATTCATGAATATTTCATTTTCTGCTATACAGTCACGATAACTAGGATAATCGGGGAAATATATATGCACTTGTACACGTTCGACGAAATGTCGAAAAGAAACGGAATTTGTTTATCTGATAAAAAGATGATATACTGTTATAGTTACTTATCGATTTCTGCATTTTCAAATTTGTAAACTTCTGAATTTACAAATTTGCGAGTTGACAAGTTTACAAGTTTATAAGTTTGCTAAGTTAGAAATTTAGGAAGCACAAACTTTACAGAGTTACAATTTATAAAGTTAGGTTAGGTTTATACAGCTGGAAGTTTGCAGTTCAAGTGTAAAAAGTTACAAAGTTACAAAGTTACAAAATTACAAAATTACAAAGTTACAAATGTACAATGTTACAAATGTATAAAGTTACAAATGTACATAGACACAAATTTATACATTGGCACATTTACAATCAAGTGTACAGATTTACAGATTTATAAATTTACAGATTAGCAGATTTACAAATTGGCAAAATTACTGATTTACAAAGTCACAGACTGAGAAAATAGCTTTACAAATTTCTAACTCTACAGATTTACAAATTGTGAAACTTGTTTAGTATTTGTATTAGAGAAAGTATTACACAATTGTTTGTCGTAATTAAAAACCATCTTCCGTTTGATTATATAAATTTGATATATACTATTTTCAATTCACCTTATCTATATAGATAACTTCTTTTCCGACGGTCGTCAGCGGTTTGACGATCGTCCCCGTCATCGACGGTGGTAGATAATTAATTCTGGTAAATACTGGTAACTTTTTTTTGTACAATTGACGTCAAACCTCGCTTCTTTACTGTAAGCGCTTTTTAACAGCATGCAAACTACCTTTTTCGTGAATCACGTTAAGATTAAACGTGTACTCCTTTTTTTCTGTGACAAGTAAATATTATTGGTACGAAAAAATGAAAACTAATTACGTGCGCGTCACAATTGTTGTGGCAGGTCAAGGGACACGTCAAACGATTACCCTTCAGCTGTTTGTTATCGTCCCCGATAAAATATCAGACGTGAAGAAGATTTAATTATCAAAGCTCCTGATTAGGTACAAAACACTTGCTTTTCGTGTGACATTCTGTTTCGCAAGATATTCAATATCTTGATCACTTGCTATCGTGTTTAATGTAAATATGTGCAATCTTGCAGTACGTGTGACATACAAGAGCAACATACTCTCATTACGTGTTCGTCAAACACATTAGAATATTTTTACATATATTGACCAGAAATTTCCGGATAAAATCCATCAGAATGCAATAACATTTAAAACTCAATAAAATTACAGTTACAGCAGTAATAAATTATAATACTATAAGTATAATACCACAATGGCTGTAGCATCATGCACTCATTTGGCGGGCAATCGTGTTTGCAGTTATTCTTTCCGTCGTTTTTGAACACCAGATGTATACAATCTTTATTAGTTGCTGTTTTTCCAATTTAATAATTTCGACTGAAATTTTGAAAGGTTAAGATCATGGAACGTTATAATTTTAAAATTTAAAAAAATGATAGGTTATAAACGAATACCTTTGCACCTAAAGTTAGGGAAACCCGCATTAAAACGATAGATCGAATTTTATTGTCACCTCGATAGCTCGAAAACTATGTTCTTTGTGCTCCACTACAAGAACCTCTATAACTCGAAATAAAATTCACTTGATTTCGAATTATTTATCACATACGCAGCTACATTATTTTACTCCTGTAACTCGAAATTAAAATAGCCTGACTATAAGTCCAAGTTCACGTCGGTAAATCAAACTTTTATTGCTGCTACCTTTACAACTCGAAGTTTATAGTTATGTACAAGAAGATGCTAAAAACCAGTCATACGATGTCTCTTTCCATTCAACTACTCATTCATGTTCAAAATTTAAGTTCCTTCTTTCCATTATCCGTAACACACAAAAAATTATTAACCTTCGTACCACAACGCTTCTGTACGTCGAAGTTTCGTTCGGTAATCCTCTGTTACTGAAAACTTTCGATAAATCGAAATCTGTATAACTCGAAGACTCGCGGCTCTTCCGTTGAGTTTCGAATTATCGAAGTTCGACTGTATATACCGTACGATCTTGTAATCAACGTGCTTTACGTACGTACGTTCGAAATAAAAAATGATCGGAGACAAGACGAAAGAGGAAGAAGTCGATCAGTCGACCACGTGGTGTAGCATACGGGCTATTTGCCTTGCAATTACACCCAGGAACAATTAACGATGAGACGATAGTAGCACGTACGTTGACGTCAATTGTTGAAGATAACGCTTGCGCGCGCGTGTACATTCCGCGATAGTGGGGACACTAGATCGGGTGGGGGAAAAAGGAAGATAGGGTGGTGGTGACGGTAGTAGTGGTAGTATTCGCTAAGAATGGCTTTGATATAGATAAGGGACGAAGAGGGAAGAGGAAGCATCAGGGGCCGGCGACTCTGGCATAGCAGGGGGGTAGCAACATGGCCGTCGGTCAGTCGGTATCGAACCGTCGTATTGCGCGAAGCTCCTACGACCCTCGTCGTAGGAACGCAGCCGTTCCGAAACGAGATTCGGAATCTCGTAAACGTGAAGGACGACTTCTCACCGATGGCATCGGCTCTCCGACCTTACGCACCCGTCGAGGTCGACAGCGCCAACGCGTTTCTTTCGCTTCGTAAACGGTTCTACCGGTTCGAAACGTGTTGTACCCGGTAATTCGGAGCCAGGATCGAACCACGTAAGTATAGTCGAGTATCTGTCAGGCGACGTCTGCTTTTCACCGTCATCGACGTTATCAATTCTTACGATAAGCTTACCGGGTTCAGTGTTCTTTGACTCTCAGTCTTTTTTTTTGCTCTGCTCTTTTTTTCTTTTTATCGTCTTATCGAGGACTATCGACGGGTATCGATCCTGGACCCGTCGATAGGCGAGAGGTCGTTGTCGATCCATGACGTCAGTCGAGAATACCTATTGTACTTGTTGCAGGAAGCTTTTACACTTTTGTGAGGAAGCTTCTCTTGCAAGCCTCTTGTGCTTTTAGTAGTTTTGCGCTGGATTATATCTATGCAGTTTTACCTTGCACGCTGCACGTAGGACGTGTGAACAGCTCTTGTTGAAAATGTCCTTTACGAACAACGTGATGAAACTATTTCTGTATAAAGAAGTTTTCAGAGACATTGGTAAAATAGTATTTCGAATAGGAAATGAAAATATTTCGCGAGACTACTTCTTTCTCTGTATTAAATTGGTTAATTTGAGATAGTAATGCATTTTTGCATCGATTGAAGTATTTTTGTGGATTACAAGGCCTTGTATTGTGACTCCTGTTTACTTTTTATTGTTGTAATAACATGTCTATAACAGAGTAATTAATACATAACAATTGGATATTTTTATCCTACATTAAATCTATTTATTTTCTTTGTCTTTATCATTCCAATCATTTTCTGTAGTTATATTCAGTAAATAAGCACTGTAATTGATCTTAGATCTACTACTGTGATCTTGATATCTATCATAACTTAAATATCATATTACCAAGGCTATATGTACATAGCAGCCAATGATTCTTATACCAACTTTGCACTGACAATAGCAATTCAACATATCAATTGTGTTACGTTATATCCAAGGTTTACACATATACCTTTGAAACATGGTGAAATAACTACTTCAGTCGCAATCAAAGATTTGAAATGATTAATACAAATTTAAAAATATAAATATTTTCAGATTTTCATATTTTGGTTACTTATTTCTTTTCAGTGATTTTGGTGAATTGTAAAATACAATAAGGAGGAACAATCATTTAAAATTTGTTGATAAACAAATTTACATATTTGTTAAAAATGGAGTCTGGTCAAGGGAAGAAACAAATTCGTGTAGGATTTTATGACATTGAAGGGACTATCGGTAAAGGAAATTTTGCAGTGGTAAAATTAGCTAGACATCGTATTACTAAGACAGAGGTAAATATCATATAAGAATATCCCTGATAATTTTATGTTTATTTTTTTATTATATAAAATTTATATTTTCAGGTGGCTATTAAAATAATTGATAAAACTCAGTTAGACCCTACCAATCTTGAAAAAGTCTATAGAGAAGTAGAAATAATGAAGCAATTGGAACATCCACATATTGTCAAATTATATCAAGTTATGGAAACAAAAAATATGATATATATGGTATGCTTATGGAACTTAAAAAAAGGTTTAGTGTAATCTTATACCTATATTAATTTTATATTTTTACCAGGTGTGTGAATATGCAAGCAAAGGTGAAATATTTGACTATATTGCACGGTATGGACGAATGGGTGAACCTAGAGCTCGTGCAACATTTGCTCAAATACTTTCTGCGGTTGAATACTGCCATGCAACGGGTGTAGCGCATCGTGATCTTAAAGCTGAAAATTTACTCTTAGATGCTCAGATGAATGTGAAGATTGCTGACTTTGGCTTTAGTAATAGATTTTCTCCTGGTGAAAGATTAAGTACGTGGTGTGGTAGTCCCCCTTATGCAGCACCAGAAGTTTTTAGAGGAAAACATTATGCTGGTCCTGAAATTGATGTGTGGGTGAGTAATTTACCTATGTTTAATATGTGACATTTATCATAAGGGGTTAAATATATCATAATTTTATTGTTGCAGAGTTTAGGCGTTGTATTGTATGTATTAGTATGTGGAGCACTGCCCTTTGATGGATCTACTCTTCAGTCTTTAAGAGATCGCGTTTTGAGCGGAAGATTTAGAATTCCGTACTTTATGAGCACAGGTACCTTTCTTATAGTTCTTTCAACTCTCAAGTACCATGGTATTTAAGTGTTGAGAAATTAACATTTTTACGAAGTCTCGGTCGGAAGAATATATTTCAAACTTCTTCCACAGATTGTGAAAGTTTAATACGTAAAATGTTGGTTTTGGAACCTGCCAAGCGATATACCATTCCTCAAATAAAAAGGCATCGCTGGATGGCCGGCTCTGCAGACACCATTTGTTCAATGATAATAACAAGATCATCATCATCCATCCAAGAACCAAATGAGCAAATACTTCGACTTATGCATAGTTTAGGCATAGATATTACACGAACTAGAGAGGTATTTTCTATTATATTTATTTGGAATAAATTAAAAAGTAACAGTTAATATAACATAGTCAATGTAACATAGTAATTATTAAACCAAGATCTTTGTCTGTTAACAGTCATTAAGAAACAGCAGCTATGATCATCATGCGGCTATTTATTTCTTGCTGTTGGAAAGGTTGAAGCAACATCGTATCAGCAGTACAGCAAATAATACTTGCTGGCCAGGTGTTGCAAGAACAAAAGAAGACAAATTCAAATCAAGGTAAATCTATGTTTTTATATTATTATATATTACATTAAGTTTAGTTTATATAATTTAATTTAAAGTTTAAAAATGTTTTACTTGACTTCCAATCCTACCAGTCAGAAAAACTTCTAAGAAAGCAATATGTTAATCATACAATTTTTATTTACAGCAATAGCTTAGTGGGACATTGATCTTTATTGATGGTGATGCATGTATTGAAGATTTAATCAGGACAGGTTGGGTTGGAAGCACTTTGCTGTCACTTTATTTTTGGTAATTGTGTTATTTTATTTCATTGCTTTTCTTTTTACTTGGAGTTATGCTTTTTCAAAATTGTATTGTATCATTTCTTTATTAAGGAATTACATAATTTTTGTTATGACATAATTTAGTAGATCATATGATTTGATACATTTTTAAAATTTAATAATAACTGACACAGCAAATAAGAGGTAGCAAAATCTCGGTAACAAAATCTACACGACCTTAAATCACCTGTTCATCGTTACAGACATCCGATACCTGGATAGAACTCTTGTATAAAATGCAACATGTATTTCCTTGTAGAACAAGAGAAGATACAACACGAGGTGGAAAGAGGTTCAGTTCAACAAGCTCTTCTACCGATGAAGGATGTTGTAGCGCGGAAGGCGATTTAGAAGAAGGTCCAAGCGGTGATGAATTAAGAGAAGCTCAAATTAAACTCGAGGAACATAGATTAGGCCTAGATCATGATATCAGTCAACGAATTGACAGTCAAATAGTCAATCGAAGATTAAGCGATTATCAGCAACATTTTGATACCCCACTTATGGATTCTATTGATCCTCCTAGTCGGACATTATTTATCGCGGGTGGTAGCGGTAGTTCATCGTCCGAGCTTTTCGAGTCTAGTTTTGACTCTGGTTGTCCACCAGATTACTCAGGGACAAATTCGTTCACGAGTAGCTTACCTTCTTGCACACCTCCACCACCTATGAGTCCATCACCAATAACGGGACGAATGTCAAGAGTTTCTCAAGGGCGTAGAGCTTCTGATGGTGGACCTAGATTATTATTCTATCAACAAGGTGGGGGAGATAGGCCAACCAAGCAACGAAGTATCCAAGGTATTGCAAATAGAAATAAGACTAGTAAGACAGACGATTTTATTACGAGATGATAATAATTTTCTTCCGGCTTTATAGATTCTGGTAAAGCTAGAGGTCATTTGGACCTTGTTCATTTGAGACCACCGTCTACGCCGCCAGAGAATCAGTCACAGTTCAAAATTCGAGGAGACTCCAGTACGCAATTACAGTTGTTAGTTCAACAACGTATGTTGCAACAAAAACGAAACTTATATCACAGACACAGAGGTGGAGGAAGTCCAACACCGATACCGGTATCAACAAGTACCACGAGTAGACGCACTGAGCACGTACCAAGGCAGGACAGTTACAAATTAGCTCAAAGGACACAAATCTTGCCACCTTTATCTCAGGGACACGTTGATAGAGACTTTGTCGATAGAGAAAGAAAACGAGACGAAGAAAGATGGAAAAGTCTACCATCTCGACTAGCAGCAGATTGTCAGTTGGCAGAAAGGACACTGCTGTGGAGCCAACAGGTAATTCTATAAATAGAAATTTCAAAAATCGTTCGGATTAAACTGCCTAATAAAAAATAAAGTTATCGAGCCGGCATAAAAGAACGCAAAATAACTCGTTGGTATCTGTCCAATGATCATGACGTCATTGTTCTTTTGGAACACGTTTAAGTCGTGCCAAAATTGTGAACTCGATATAGAGTATTATGTTACCGTTCCTTTTATAATGTTAACATTGTTGTGGGCGTGTATCATGTCCACAACGATGTATCGATGTAAATATTATTATTAGCATTGTTTACGACATTAGCGACTAGACGTTACTTGTGATACGAGAGCACAATTAATTTGTGTTAGATTGCAAATAAACAATTATTTTTCTTTAATTTGGCAATTCATTGTTCACTCTAATTTGCCTTACTTCGTGTCATGGGCGTAACCGGGATTTATTTTTATATTCAAAATATTAATTAATATAATTGTAATTTAAGTTTTTCCTCTGGGTTAGGGTAAAAGTTACTTTTGCTCTAAAGGGATGAATAAGTTTCCCTTTTTGTTGTCCTTGGCTGCGCCCATGCTGAATGCATGTGTACCAATCCTCTACTGAATATCTCAATCTCAGAGCAAGAACTGATTAAGTTTACTGTTTACATATGATAATACACAGCCAATTTGATGTTTCTAAATTTGTAAATTTCAAACTCCATATCTTGTACCATTGTTTTTTTACCTCCTTTAAAATCAGAAAATTGTGACTTAATACCATCTGACTCTGGGATCCAGATATGAATGTACAGTTAACAAAACAAAAAAATGTTATCTTTGTTTTTAAGAATTGCACTGCTGTATAACATTTGCGTTATCATATATACATATGCGCCTGAAATAAGACCAAGATTTATTTTGATAACTGTGCAATGTAATTTTAAATAGTTACTTATTTGCCTGTTAAATACACAATAGGACAATAACACCATTTTATGCACCGATACACCAACAACAATTCCAAAAAAAACTTAATCATGTATTAGCACAATTATGATGAAAAAGCCCCCCAAACAATACAGTGTTAAAACACGTAAACATTAAGCTTGAAAAATGCATATGATTTGTAGCACTTTTCCGTTATTTAGCTTCCTAGATTTTATTTTGAATAGTTTGTAATGAAGGTATTGATTACAAAAATGACATACAAAATGTAAATAATTTAAAGAAGAAAATATATCAGGTGGGCCTTAGTGGAGGAGCATCATATTTGCCACCTGGCAGTGTAGGTGGCTTTTTATGGCCCACTGGAAGCAACCCTCATTCAACCATCTTCGAAAACGTTGGGGATCCAATGGAATGAACATCTACCCTGTTGTACTTTTAGTATTGGAGATTTTGAGTCTGAAAGACTAGACTAGACACATATAAAATACAATAAGCAGTATTGCCTTCCTAGTCTTTCCATATCAGTATTTTTATTTATATAATTATGTATTTTCTAAGTGTCCAAGAACAATGTTGTATACATTTCTTTGTAGAAGGATTTCCTCCATGATAATCTAGCTTTCATACACAAAATCTTTGATTGAATGGAAGGTACGTGTTACTAAATGTCAAAGACTTGTCCCTTTTGAATAATCTTCTTTTCTGAAACTGCTTTGAAACCACTCATACTTTATCATATATATTTATACAATCATATACGTCATTCATAGGAAAGTTATATGTATCACATATAGGTATATATATATATATATAATGAAAATGTATTGTTATTAAAAATCTTTGTCGTGTAGTAACACGTGCACCTGCCTTATTGATTGGCTGATTTTGTCAGTCAAATATCCAATTATATCATAGACTGATAATTAACAAGAAGAAACACCAACCAAGTTTATATTCATAAGCAAGTGGCATATGTCTTGCTATACAATGGCTCTGTTTAATTGGAAGTACAGCGTGTATACTTGTGCATATATGAATAATAATTATTAAAGAATGTTTTTGGCGTGCTTCCTCAATGCACTTCAACGAATAATCTTATAATAATAACAGTATTCTTTTCATACACTTTCGTCGCTTATTTTATATTAATTTTTATTATATTTCTTTAAAATAAATGTGAAATATTTATTACCGAGTAAAATGTAAAAAGTAACTTGATTTAATTTGAAGCATGACATTGTAATCATAATATATAATATAAGAAATACAAATATTGTAATCTTCACAGGAACAACTGTTATTTTAAAGTAGATGCAAGAAATATGCCACTTATGCTTTTTTATGCAATTAATCGAAGAGTGGAGTTATAAAATGAAAGAAACCACGTTAATGTTTTTTGTTATACATTTTTATTAATATTGTTGTACAAAACCAAATGTTTCGTCGGATTCCACTCTTCATTACGATCGTTATAGAGAACTAAGAAATGATACAAACAATAAATAGTGATAATTAGTAGCTGCTGTTTAAAGAAATAAAAAGAAAAGTGCTGCATTCTGTAAAGATGTTTAAATAAAATTGTTGTATACATGATCATAAACGAAAGTAGTAATTGTTTGTATTAAACATTAAACGTTTTATATAGCTTTTATTTGTCGCAAGGTGTACAAATTATTTCAATAATTATACATAATATTATCACTCAAAACTGTTTATAATAAATTGTTATTTTATTCAAAATGGAAAACCGAATGAGTCTGTTTTATGAAATTCTTACAATATTGTATTTAAATAAAAAAGAAAGAAACCAGTAATAAAAAAAAAATTCGTAAAACCAGAAAGTTTTTACATTTATATACGAATACAGCACTTTTTTAAAGCAAATATATAATTAGATTCTGGTAGTCTAGTCAGTAGAAAGCAATACCGGCCGCGCACAACTGACAACGACTTTAATATTCAAATTTTCCGCAATTTTTTACCCAACAAAACAATCAAACTTCGCTCAAAAAGTCTTTTGATAAGTGAAAAAAAGTAGCTGTTAAGTTAGCATAATCTCGACCCGGCAAATTGTTCTTAAAAAGACAGTCCAAGAATAAATTAAAAAGACCGCTGGAATTGAAAATCGGTTTTGACACTGCTGCGCATCACCGTCTATCCTTTTTTTGAACAAGTGCGACATTGCATTAAAGAAATTGATTTACTAGTAATATATTTACGTAAATAATATACCAATAAATTTCGCAACATCATTTTTATTAATAACAACAGTGATTTTTGTCAAAATTACACAACAGAATTATTATTTGGCCATATACTGCAACGCGTGCAAATACTTTGTAAAATAATTATTTACTATCAGATAATGACGCATTAAGAAATATTGTACAATAATCAGATAATAAAAATACAATAAATAAACTCCAGTTGAAATTAAGGATTTTCTACTAAATTAAACGATTTTCTTGAAGTCATGTATGATGGTAAATAATTATTATTTAAAATTGCGAAATTATCAACAAGTGTATACATTGCGCGTATGAACATATTGAATAAAATCATATGCAGACTGCAATATTGTTACTATTTTATTTGTAGAATGAAATTATTCAAATACTACAAACACTTATTTTTGCATATTTTGTATATGTTTTGACATGAACATATAATTCAGATTTCCACTCTCTCTGGTGTAAAAATATCTGTACCAGTTTTTTCAGCTCGAATTCTGGCTTCTTCAGGCGTTAATTTTTCATATTCACTAGGATTTAATGGTTCACCTTTTGAATCCAATTGCCCATTCTTAAAATCTTCTTTAATTTTCTTAGCATAAACAAAATTGAATAAGTCTTTAGCAGTATATTCACGCTGTTTAACTTCAGCTTTGTAAGAAACGTATGGCTTTAAATCGAAATCTTTTAAAGAAGGAACAATAAGTTCTGGTATCATTTCTGGTATATTAACAAATTTACCATCCACATATCTCCCGGTTAATCTTGTTCCTCTTCCTGAAAATAGTTTTTATTGTGTGAATAATGTTAAGAAAGTTTTTAATACCAAAATCAAACAGACAAACTAAAAGTTATATTTTAATTAAAGATACATAAAGCAAAATCTACTTACTATCAATTGGTATATCACAATTGGGATTTGTAGCTTGGTCTTTTTTAAAGGCTCGGGTACCTCTTTTATTATAGATCTGTATCATTCGAAAATTTCGTTTACCATGAGCAATAGATGATGTTGAAATTTGTCGACTTATAATCATACATGTAGATGCCATTGTGTTACCTATGAAAATAATTAAACTACATATATATATATTGTTAAACTAACAAATTATATTTAATAAATATAACATTTGTTGATAAGGTTAGAATATGCGATGTACTTAAGAGATTTATTTTTAGTTTATGAAAATAATTGAGTTTAAGATCATTTATCAGTAGACTAGAAATTACTATTTATTAACAATTGATTCTACTTCAACTTTAAATTGAAAATATTGTGCATTATATTATACGTATACTTTTGTTCACCATGTATATAACCGTGAAGTAAGAAACAAGGTAGAAATTAGCACCAATAGAAATTGGCAAAATTAAATTTACAATTATTTGTTCTTCCCTATATCTACCTTATAACAATTAGTGATATCGTAATCTAATAATACAAACAAATAAATGTTTTTTGAGTATTTGGGAAAATATCTATAGTTGCACCTGTTGATAAACACCGTAAAAAATTACATGAAAACGAAGATAATTCCATTAACGCTTGCTAGGACGAATCACATTTCTGAACGAAGTAGTCCTAATAATTTTGTACTGTTATGTCTCACAATGGGTAATACAGCATGCTTTTCATAGTCTTAATCATCTATAATCATTGTTGTATGCCCTTTACAACAAAACAAAACGTTATTTTTTTACGGAATGGTAGATATAATTTCTATATAACGTAAGATTCTTATTAAAAAGAAATCATGTCAGGAAGTACTCCACACACGGAGAAAGAATTAGATTTAAGTAATGCTGGTAGAGGTGTGTGGCTCGTCAAAGTACCTAAATACATAGCGAATAAATGGGAAAAAGCACCTGGTAATATAGAAGTTGGAAAATTGAAAATAACAAAGTAGGTTTTTTTAATTCTATGCATGTTTCAATACTGTAATTTCACCTTGCATATACTATTAGGAATCCTGGACAAAAGGCAGAAGTATCTCTGAAATTGTCTGAAGCTGTGTTAGCATTAAAAGAACCGGGAGAGGAAGAGATCCCAAAACAACATAGGTTAGATGTTACAACAGTAACAAAACAAATGTTAGGTGTATTTTCTCATGTTACCCGTAAGTCATATTTAAATTGCTTTAACTACTTAATCAGATGCATTATTGTTTCATAAATGTAACTTTTGGTTAGCATCTACTAGTTCAGATTCTATTGTTCCTGAAACCGAGAAACTTTATATGGAAGGAAGAATTGTACAAAAATTGGAATGTCGACCATATGGTAAGGAATTTATTGTAATGAATTAAAAATTGTGAGATAATATGTATAATATTATTTTTAGCTGATAACTGTTATATGAAGTTGAAACTACAAAGTATTAAGAGAGCTTCTGTGCCACAAAGACAAGTTCAGCAATTAGATAGGGTAGTGCAAAATTATAAGCCTGTTTCTGATCACAAACATAATGTAAGTACCTTGTGAAATGTTAAAGAACATTATGTTAATATGCATTATTAACATATTTATATGTATTTTATAGATTGAATATGCAGAGAAGAAGAAGGCTGAGGGTAAAAAGATGAGAGATGACAAGGACACAGTATTAGATATGTTGTTTGCTGCCTTCGAGAAACATCAGTATTATAATATAAGAGATCTTGTGAAAATTACCAGACAACCAATTGTAAGAATATAATTTCATTGGTAAACATATGATTACTAAACTGTGAATGTTTATTGATTTTTTTTTATTTCATTAGGTGTACTTGAAAGAAATACTGAATGAAGTTTGTAATTATAATCTGAAGAACCCTCATAGAAATATGTGGGAATTGAAGCCAGAGTACAGACATTATAAAGAAGAAGAAAAATCCTCTGAAAATGCTCAGAAAAAGGATGATGAATCAGACGACGATTAATTTATGGTATTTGGATGTTTTTTTAATTTTGATTTATTCCAAATAAATTTTTAAATAAAATATTTTACAACATTTTAAACTTAAGGCTGTGCAACATAAACATGATTTTTAAACAATTCTTTAAATATTGTACATTGACATTGTTGTGTTCTGTTAATAAGAAATCAAATTAAGAATGTGTAGGCTAAATTATTCCTTTTATTTTTTGACTATACAATCGATTATTTGTACCATACTGCAATGTAAAATATTTTACTATTTTCTAAAATTGTTACTACATAAAATGAAATTGTATCACTATAAAGTAAATGTTTATACTTTATATAAAGAAAAAATGCATTACATTATTAAGGTACAATAGTTGTTACAATAATTTTAGCTATTTCCAAAACTGTAAATAAAAGGCACTATGTGTCACACATACATTAAAATATTTAAAAAATTATTTTTATCGTTGTTGCTGTCTTATATTTAATAACAATAAATGAATATTTCTTCTGTTTCCATAAACAAAAACATTATGGAATGAATTTTAAATGCTATTTATATGGCTTACGTTTATGTATTTTATACTAAATGGCACCATAAATTGAAGAACCAAAATTTAATAAAATATTACTCGTAGTCTTTATGCACATATACCACAGTTAAAAGAAGTAATAGTTAACATAATTTGACTAGAGTTGATTGCACATTACATTCTGTTATTGCACTGGAATGATCAGTAAAATTATATCTTTTCTGTATCATCATAAATAATATGAGTAAAAAAATATATGTTTAACACAAAAAGTGTTTAAGTACATTACTGTATAAATTGGTATACCTTTCTGAAATAAAAGATTAATCTAGAAAGAAAAAATTGATTTTCTTAACATAAACAAATACTATTTAACATCTACAACGTGACTGTAAGGTCAAAATGCATTATAATACGTATATGGCAGGAATTGCAAATGGTAAATGCTTCCAATATAACTCAAGCATGTCTGTAATTTTATACATTCATGCATTAGTATTGGAAACATTGTATACATACATCAACTCTACTTTCTAGTACCTGATATAAACTATGGAATGTTTCATTGTAGAAACAATGTTTCTATTCTATTAAAACGAATAATTTTAGAGTAATAATGAACAATTTTGTCAACCTCTAGATGAACTATAACTACTGTTCAATTTGAAATATCAACAGCTTTAGTTTTAGACTAAAAAGCATTTAAAAGTGCAATAATACTTTGTGCGTGCAATTTTACCGTTTATCACACTGTTTTCAAATATTCTAAAATTTCCTTTGGAATAACTTCAATATTCCAAAGTTACCTTAAACATTCACAAATGCTTGAAACATCAACATTGGATGACATCCACATAGAACTTTAATTCCGATTTTTTCATTCGCCGGAATAAAGATAACAGATCCACGATAAAGAATTTTCGACGATGAAATTTCTCCTTTTCCATTTATAATAATTAAAATGCTTGCTGTTTCTCTGGGAATTATATTATATGAAGATCTTCCAGGAGGTATCTAAAACATGTCATAATTGTTGTACTGCCAATGATTAAGCTATATAAAATTTAAAAAACCTACTGTAATCTTAGCAACAGCAAAATCGGATACCGGAGGACGAAATACTTCAGTACATTCGTCCTCGCGACAAGGTTGAAATTTTTTTGCAGAGGCTGGTTCACAATTATATGTTAACATTTCAATCAATGTTGGCACATCTTTTAATTTCGAGGTTAATCCTGCACGTACTACATTGTCAGAACATGCCATACATTCAACACAATCTATAAACATATTATAAGGTATAAGAATAATGTAGTATTTGAGAAGTATGTATCTTAAAAACCTACCGCCAGAAAGATATGCATGTGGTTCATTTGGTCCAAGATATATAGCCTCACCAGGCTGCATTGTTACAAAATTAAAAAAATAAATGCCAAAACATCCTACATCTGCAGGATAATCTAAGTGCAGTCTTTCTAATAAACTGGCATGTAAAGTCTGTCTTGATAATTCATCTAAAATATTGTTTAATTAAGATAGTGTATATACTATTATTAGCAAAATTATATTTAATTGTTAATCAAGTTTACCCAAATTAGATAATCTTTCAAGTAATTTTCTAAGTTGCAGTGCTATTAAGCAAGGATCACAGGTCATGAGACTATAGAAACATGTTTTCAAAGCTTTGCTAATACCAGTTTCATCTATTGTCATAAATTTAAGTACTTTATCTTCTCCTATCACAGCACGTAGTTCTGGGAGAATTTTTAAAAACTCTTTTATCTCTCTAATTGGACGGAAACCACAGAGAGCCTCAAATGGTGTTAATGCTATTGCCATCTCAGGTTTATGATTTGCATCTTTGTAAATAGTGGGATACTGCTGATGTAATTCTTTCGCCTTCTCCTGAAATATGGTATTTTAGATTGCATCATAGAAAGCATTTAGAATAAGTAAATATACCTTGTGTGGATGTGCTTGAATTGATAATGCTCTATTCACAGATAATACTTTAAAAAGGAATGGTAAATGTTCACCAAATATTTTTATAGAATCGCAGCCTAATACTTTGCTATTTTGCTTTATGTATTCCTCTAAAGACATATTTAAATCTTTCATAATTGATGGGCCATTGGGATGAGTGCCCATCCATAATTCGGCATATGGTTTCTTTTCATCTAATGTAAAATCTGCATTAGCAGATTTCATCAATGTCGCAACAGTACTATCAATACCATGTTTTCCCCAGTCATAAGTTTGTACTTTACATTTAAGTTCCATATTGTAAATATTTCTAAAACAGCATAAAAACATATTTGTTATGTTTTTAAGAAAATTATAATTATCTTTAAACACACATTGTTTTCTTGTTAATTTTAACATTTTTAGAAGTATTATTATTAATTTTTAAATGTTAAATTTCATTATATGTAAAATAAAAACATATTTATAAAATTTTTATAACATTACTTATGCAAATAACGAATGTGGGCGTTGTTAAAACGTGAACTCGTGATAAAATTTGAACAAACTATAGAACTAATAAAACAAAAGATGTATATGTACAAATAGAATTGTTACCAGCTGTCTTGATAACACCTTCAATATTTCGCTCACATCCGTTATCATATTTGCACAACAATAACTATCTTTACTGACTCGCTTTCCTTTTCATACGTTTCCTGCTGATAATATTGATTTTCTAAAACATTTTTCTATATGAACATATTCCATTCCTATATTTTTCCATTCATCTTATAAATAAAATAAATTCGACTGTTCATTATTTCCATTTTATTTTAAAATTACGAGATTCGATTACAATCGTAAAGACTGTAGTCATAAAACTATGTACATATATATATACGTATATATACATCATACACAAAAGAAAGTTTATATAGGATTACGAAAAATTTTACAATTCAATTTGAATGATAAAAAAATTATATACATTGAGTGAATACGTGTTCAAAGTAAATAATAAAAAATTTATCATGTAAATTGTAGTACACAGGAATGTAATTATAAAATTTTATTCTATTTCATGTGTATTATTATTGATACTAATGATTTTTAATTAAATTATTATACATCGTTTTATTTTTTATACATTGTGAATAATAATTGCTGAAAAAAATTGGCGGAACTCTGCATTTCTCGTAGATTTTTACATTGGAGCTGTGGAAACTACCATCCACTATTTGTGATACATATTAATTAATTTCTAACCGAGTTTCAAATCGAATCTAATATTATTTTTACCTAGTATAAAATGAACAAGTTTGCTTTTAAAAATAAACAGTTTGCTTTGGAAAATTGTGTAATTAATCGACATTAAAATTGATTCCTGTGAATCAGGCATAATGCCTGAATTTGTATTCGTGGCAATCTCGAAATCGAACACGTGCGAGATCGAGGTTCCTTTCCAACTTCGAGTGTAGAACCGAGTGAACTTCCTTTACATTTACCGTCTGCGGTGGCAGTAGTCCTGCTGGGAAGGTAATGCAATTAAATTCGAATATTTGTTAATAATTCCTTATAAATATATAAAAAAACATTTACTAATCGTATTTAAATATTTGCTTTTTCTACAGATATAATTAAATAGTGAAAATGGTGGCCCAAAAGAAACAGGTAAATATCTTTCCAAAACCACATGTTCGGCTTAACATAAGACAGTTTTGAAAATAATTTTCGCTTATTTTCGCGCATAAAATATTGTATAATAATGTACAAATAAATATATTAAGTTTATAGTTCTGTTTATGAATATGTTTTTAATGAAACAGAATTTATTTATTTGATATTTTAAAATTCTTAGTGATACTATTTTATTGAGGTTAAGATGCTATTGGTATAAATTTAAGAACATGTTTGCATACAATTTGTTTCTTTTTGTAAACAGAAAAAGTCCCAGGAGGGCATCAACACCAGGTTAGCTCTGGTTATGAAGTCAGGAAAATACGTCCTAGGCTACAAACAGACGCTGAAATCCCTCCGACAAGGAAAAGCAAAATTAGTCATCATTGCTAATAACACTCCTCCACTAAGGTGAGACTGAGATGTAGTACTCCTTCACTACCTATAAATCAATATGAAAATTATAAATCGATATTAAATAAAATGAAGCAAAGTATTATGTAGGATGAATTTTATAATTATCATATTGATTTGCATATTTATAGTAGGAGTTCTACGGAGTAGTCTCACGTCTCTGCTTGTAAGTGCAGAGACATTTCATGTTAGGAAATGATTTGAGATTTATAAATTTTTATTTTCTTCTGATAACAGGAAATCAGAGATAGAATACTATGCTATGCTGGCGAAGACTGGTGTACATCATTATGTTGGAAACAATATAGAATTGGGTACTGCTTGTGGAAAATATTTCCGTGTGTGTACTCTTTCTATTACAGATCCAGGAAATTCTGATATCATAAAATCTATGCCTATTGGTGAACAAGCATAAATATATATTTTTTATTTAATAAAATTTTAAAAAAAACATCGTGTTTATCATTTCTTCAATGTTCCCATTGTCTTCAAATTTCTAAATTACCTATTTCTCAAATATTCATATATGCAAATATCGAAATTTGTAAGTTTCTGAACTTCTCATTTCAGAAAAATTTTTTTTGCTGATACTGTAGAAGTAAAAAAATTTTTTATGACAGAAATTGTAGATGTCAGCAGTTTCAACTAAATATTTTTAAACGCTAGAATTCGTGGTTATGATACTCAAGATTTGTTCTGTCAATATTTATTTACAATTAAATTAAATATGTCACTAATAAGTTACACGTATTTAGTCATTGTTTTCTATGTAGTTTATTGTGAAGAACAGTATTGTTCTGTTGACAATGCTGAAGATTGCACTAGTGAAAAAGAAACAAATGTCTATAAGAAAGGTATTTGTAAACATAGTATTTCAAAATTGTAATATTATTTATAATGGTTTTCCTTTTAGTACCTAACACACAATACAATAAATACTACAGTATGATTGAGGAAGCAGAGAGAAATTACCAACTTTGCAATAATACTAACAATAATTGTTTTAAACATATCATTCTACGTGATTTAAAACCTTTCAAAGAAAAAGGTATAAACAAAGATTTAATAGATGCTGCAAAAGCTAGGTATGTCCACCAACATTTAGTATCATGAGAACTTTTGTTAATTAAAGTATGATAATTTTTAGAGGAACGTTTTATCAAATAGTGAAGGGCAAGGTATATAGACAAAAAGATTGTATGTTTCCTTCGAGATGCTCTGGAATAGAGCATTTTCTTTTGAAACTAGCTCCTAAATTACCAGATATGGATTTAGTTATAAATGTAAGAGATTATCCTCAATCTAGCAAATATTTTGGGGGTCCATTACCTGTGTTTTCATTTAGTAAGGTAAACAGATTTTTGTGTTTTATACACTTTCTTTTAATCGTGGAAGATTCTAAGTGTTGTGAAATATAATTGTAGACACCACAGTATTATGACATTACATATCCAGCATGGGCATTTTGGGAAGGTGGTCCTGCAATTTCTTTATATCCTCGTGGTCTTGGAAGATGGGATGAACATCGTATATCTTTAGATAAAGCTAGTAAAAGTTTACCATGGGAGAAGAAAGAAAGTAAAGCATTTTTCAGGGGGTCTAGAACAAGTTCTGAACGTGATAATTTGATACTGTTAAGCCGTAAAAAACCTAATTTAATAGATGCTCAGTACACAAAAAATCAAGCATGGAAATCTGATGAGGTAATAGAGTGTTATTATGTTTATATGTGCATACATAGGAAGGATCATGTTATGTTTTATTGCAGGACACATTGTATGCACCTCCAGCTCCAGAAGTTTCTTTGGAAACTCATTGTAAATATAAATACTTATTCAATTATCGAGGTGTTGCAGCATCATTCAGGCACAAACATTTATTTTTGTGTAGATCTCTAGTGTTCCATGTTGGGGATGAATGGACTGAATTTTATTACGAAGCAATGATTCCTTGGATTCATTACATACCAGTTCCTAAAGATGCTAATCAAACAGTATTAGAGTGAGCTCTTATCTGCTTTGAACCGTTTATTATTATAAACTTTTATAGAACACATACATTTTCATATGTATCTTCTTATCTGTACAGAGAGTTGATACAATTTGCAATGGATAATGATGAATCGTCCAAAAAAATTGCCGATTCTGGTCGGGATTTTATATGGGACAATTTGAAGATGTCTGATATCACGCAGTTCTGGAAGAAGCTCCTTGAGAGGTATTCCAAGCTTTTAATGTATAAAGTTACCTTAGACGAAACTTTAATTAAAATTGAAAAGAAGAAAAGATCTTAGTAATAATTAGTACAACGTTTATTTAATATAAATAATTTTATGCACTTTTTTTATTAAAATTTATATTTTTATAATGTAAAGTATTAAGCAATAAAAATAATTTGGTAGTGATCAGATGTTTACTTAATTTTTACAATAAATGTTAGTTGAAATAAACTGGGTTTTTTATTGATACTGTACAATGTCAGGGTATAGCAAAATGTGGCAAGTTTCAATATGAATCATTTTAGTACCCTGACAGAAAATATAACACAGATAAAGGCCTTGTACATTACACAGTACTTAATATGTATGTATATGTTATATTTGTATACTAAAAATTTTGAGCTATGTGTTTTAAATACAAAGTTTTTACATGTGTTACACTTTTTTTCAAAAAACGATTTATTTAACAAGTATTAAAAAATTGTACAAGGCTTTTTGTGCTTCATACTTAAATGCTAGGTAATTCTTAAGTACTTAATTGATTATTTATAATATAATTATGGAAACATTTTTCGAATGTAAAGAAACATATAGTAATGCCATTAGGATTTTGTAAACGTGAATGTACACTATAAATTGTAAATATTTTCATTGTCATATCTAAAAATGTGTGAAAAAGAGGTATATGCTAAAAAAACATCTGCAATGTATAGTATACATACACATTATAGTGCTATTATGTACACTGTTATTGTTTTTAACATCATTTTGGTTTTAAAGCACAATACAAACAATTATTATTTTCAAAATAACGAGAGCTGCTCTTTTTTTGTATACTACAGTAAATCTCACACTTTATAACATGGTCATTAAAAATTAATATGTACCTATTATCAACATTATTTACTATACTTTTTTATATGATAGAAAATGAAAAGAATTGGAAAGACTGAAGCAAAATTTGTTTTGAAAGACAGAGAACAATATTTTATGCTAAATATTTATAAGTAGAATAAGTCTAGTTACTGTTAATTAATGAACAAGAATAACAACAAATTAATACAAATTTATGCACGAGAGCTACACTTCATAATGTTTAGAGAACATTCTAAGGCACTTAGAAGGAAGATAAGTATTTTTCACTGAAATCATTACCATGAGTACTATAGATGTTTCCATACATTCAAGACTCAACACTCTATACACTATTAACATAAAACTCTAAGGTTCTTATGTACTTCCATAACTCTATGGATTTCTTTACATTATGAGAAATATTTATACTCTAGATGAGAAACAATGAAAATTCTATAATACTCATAATACTGCCAGTCAAGAAACCAATTGACTGTTCTTTGTTTTTATTTACTATTTGTCATGTCGCAACATATGTCAGTTCTTTTAAAATTTAAATTCCATGACGAATGTGCAAAGTAAGTGCCTTTAACATTACTATGTATATAAACCATGATGTACGAAAAAAGAATAAATAGGCAGTGTAAAAGGTTTGATGACACAACATTGCATGCGACTTAAAAAATATTATGTATAAACATATTTTACATGTTCTTGTTTATGTTACATATATACAGAATGTCCTGTAAGATGCATGGAATCTATAAACAGAAAATTGTCAAATAAAACACATCTTATAAAACATACTGCAAATACTTATGAACTATGAATGAAGCAACAGTTCTCGACTGTTTGCGCAACATTGCTTCAAATGGAATGATTATTGTATGACAAACAGGACAATAAATGAACAAACTAAATCTGCTTGCTCATTAATATTGAAGAAAAAAAATACAGCTCATAATTTGTGAGCATCAACTACTAGAGGTATGACCAAGTGCCTTTTGCTGACAATTACATGATTTCTACTATCAGGTGGTCAGTCTCCTTACCATCAGTCAGTTTATATTCCTATAAATCATTTTACAAAATTTAGATATAATAGACTCTCATTAAATTGCCAATCATATTTCAAATTTGAGAAATTAAGAGTTGTGGAAATTTGTTATTCAGCAAGAATCATTTATTATGGTTATTGGAGTGAGAAAGTAGGGATAGTAGCCGAACATTGCCAGCGTGCCACCACTTGGTCATATCCGATTAGCACATTGCCAGTTTGGCACTGTTTTCCTTCTCCGTGTCCAACATACTTTAAATCACAATTTTCCCGTTTGAGAAGTCAATTCAAATATTTTTGATGGACTTCCTTTCGTCGATGATCCCATCGCTTGAGGATCGATCTCCAATAACGCTTTCTACGTAGTGGCAACGAGTTTAGCGATGATCATAGTTATCAAACTGAACGGAAGATGCCACCACATCGACGATTCGAAAACGCTTCCCGCCGCGGAGTCCGCATCCTGATTGGACGACGTGACTAGCTGCTCGTCCGTTTGGCCTGTCGAATTTTATTAAAGTCGTAGAGGGGGAAACTATGCTAAAAGAATCGTTGCTGATTGGATGGTTCACTGCACCGGTTACGCGCGTGAAACAACGGAAGTCGAATCGTAGGTAGGTTACGATCGCAGGTTGTTGTCGTTGTTTGGAACTTAATTATGTCTCTCGTTCGGCATATCCGGAACTGTGCTTCCTGTGAACCCTTTTATTTTCCCCTTGATAATTTCTTGTCCCATTTTGTTGCCTTCTAACCCGAGTTTACGACTCAACGATTCCTCGAACGAACAAGTTTTCATTCTCGTCCGTTCACTTTTTCCCGAACCCGCGCGATTCGGAGTGCAGATTGTTGTCCTCTGGAAAAGCGAGTTTTTTCCGGGTTAATAGAACTGCAACTCTTCGTGGACGCGTGTTATATTCCTGTGAACGTTTGTTTCGAAATTCGTCAGCGTCTTGCAACGTCACAATATGTCGTCGGAATGTCAACTTTAACAGTATTTGTCCGTAAGTACTGAGAAGGTTACTCGTTTAAGATTTAAGATTTCTGTGTTTTCTCCAATTTTGGTTCTATTTTAATAATCTACATTTTGGGAATATATAGTATCGACTGAGTGTGTGTTTAACACAAAAAAGAAATAGTGCTTTACTTAAAATCAAACGTACGAAATTATACGCAAAATAAAGAAACTATCAATTATAGTATTCATATAATTACTGTAAAGCAAACTGATACGATTGTCCTCTTTTGTGCACAAAAATCTTTAATAATCTTCAGTAAAAAATATCAAAAATAAAAATAAATAAAATTATCGACGAATATCAAAGAATACAAAAAATATTTTAATATAGTAAATATTTAGCAGCTTCATAAACCAAGTACCCGAAAATAAACAGAGTGGGTGCAAAATAGAACTGAGGATACAACATGCCCTTTATACCAAAATTGTGTAACAAAATCATAAAGACTAAAAGTAAAATACTCGTGCAAGTAAACCTTGTGTGTAAGAAAGATAAATAAAGATACGTGCACGTGAAATGTGTGTATGTATATGTGTTTGTATACGTGTATATGGGCACAAGAAAAAGAAATCTTAAATGAGAAACGAAAAGGGAGAAAAGAAAGAAACGGGATCATGGAGATCAAGGTCGGTTTTGTTTACTTTCTGGTTAAAGAGTGGGAAAAAGAGGGAGATTCTATCTTACGATAGATTAAGTTCCAAACAACGCAACCATCCTCCGTATAGTTTTACCATGCATCCGTTTATACTTTTTGCGCAGAGATACGTGCGTATACACGCGATTCGTGCTGTGATACATCCTTTGATTTTGATGCAAAAATTCGTGCAATATTATCGGTGAATGTACAATTATTAGAGATGTTTTTGAGATGTAACAATCTCTAACAATTATGTGATACAGTAGTCTCAATTAACACAGATTTGTCAGCGGGTGTCTTTCTGTTATCGGAAGAACAAAGTGGTTACGAATTTTGGCGGGAATGTGCTAAGTTCAATTCATCGGTGATTAATATCGAAAATCAGGTATGATCGAATAATTTATATTGAAAATATATTTTTTAAATTTATTACTATCATAATAATAATGTAAAGTAGTAAATTGGAAACTTGATATTTGAAGTTCCCATCAGCCATTACTTGAACGCCATGACAGCAGGACAAGAGTGGGGGAGAGATTTGGCGGTTAGAGCTCACGTTGACAAATCCGGTTTAATCAGTTGAGTAAAATACTATTTTGTTCAAAAAAGTTATTTGAAAGTAGTTCAAAACAGTATTTTTCTTTAAAGCAGTACTTGTTCACCAATCAAAGAGCGTTAATTACAACAAGGCGTGCAAAGACGTAATGAAAATAACGATGATCCGGAAGTGAGTATCAAAGACACGAAACACCCATGAGATCTATTGAAATTCGTTCGAATTGGAATGAGGACATACAGGGCAAGAATACAATCAGAGAAAAGAAAAGAAAAAGGTAAGAAAAAGTTTGCAGTAGGATACTATCTCGTAAATAAGCAACACAAAAGAATGTAAGAAAAAGAAATGACAAACAATTAAAGCTTAACATTGTAATATTTACTGTTTTCAGCAAACTGGGTCCAGCGACGGTGACAGACGATACTTTTAATATGGTATCCATTTTTATCAATGGTAGGTAACATGACAAATATAAGATATAATTTCTTTAGTTATTCTTACAGGATTACAAAACTTCATTTTTTGCTTGGCTAATAAATACTTTGGGCTTTGGATCGTATATGAATATAATTTTTGGAATGAATTTTTGGTTAAGAATTGGGGTGGGGGGAGGGGCCGGATTATGACAGGATATTTGCGCGTCTAATTTATCCTCAGGAGGACTTCTGAAACTTTAGTACACATTTTTAATTGAATTTTAAATTTATTAATTCAAATTAATAAAAATAAATTTGATGATTTATTGAAGTTGATAGAAGTCGTCCTGTGATTAATAGAATTATTTTAAACGGGGATGATCGAAATGATAATTTTTGATATTGGCAGAAATTTATTTTGTATTATTTTTTTACGACGTTATTATGGTATTATTGATTATTGTTTATATATAAAATAATGTTACTGTTATTACACCATTGTTAATTAAATAATGTTAGTATTTCTGCCAATATAATACTATGATTTAATGAATATGATTAAAAACAAATGAGTAACGATATGTTAAAGCGACTTCATGTATTTATTAGCAAGTTAGCCTTATGTTCAATTAATTCATGTTCCTTAATGATTCGATTTTAATATTAGATCCCTTCACCACGAAATACGAAAATTAAGATGAATATTGCTTTTTTAAATTTCATATTCAACGAAGAAGTTTGTGCAATCAATTTATAATTTATTTAAAAATGATTGTGTTTTGTGTAGTATGTAATGAGTATGTGTATTGATTTATTATTAGTATTTGAATATTTTGTATTTCCAATTGTTTTAATCATTGTCTTATAACTTTATTTTAATTAACTATTTAAATATCACAGTAATATTTATTGTAATGCACTTAAAAATAATAGATAATATAAGACTAGCTGATTAAAACAAATTAGAAGAGATCTGCATGGCATGTTGTATCTATAGTGATATGTATCATGATAATTTGAATCTTTAAAATGTTGAATAATGATTATTGTAATCAAATGGGAAACATCGCTAGCTATAATATATCTTAAAATCGTTTCTGAACTTTTGTGTATTGTTGAGTGATATTTTATGATAATAATAGTCTATTTATTTAAGGTCCCTAGGCAATAATATTCAAATAAATTATAAAGCAATTGTAATTATTTTACTGCATGCACAAATTTCTTCGATAGCTGAAAGCCCTAGGTATGTAATAGCCAAGTTTTCGAGACACCAGATACTGTATCCTCGCCATTTCTGTATTTATGCAGTTTACTTATTACCACTTGAAATCCGTGTACAGAGGTGGAATAAGTTCAAAATTTCAGATATCCACTGCTAAGTGGTCACAGTACTTTTGCATATCAAAAAACATATTTACAATTTTGTTTCTAGAATTTTAGTCCTTCTAAATTCAACAGACTAATTATAATAATTAATCAACATTTATATATATTTTTGTACTCTGACCACAAACAAGTGAACAAAATGAAATTTCTAGGGCAAGGTAAGAATCTGGTTTGACTCGAATGAAGCTGTAGTACCTGCATCTAAAATGATGTCTCCGACGTCACCATTTCTATCACCCTCGTCATCAAAGTCGCTACCGACGGACTCCAGGATGCCAGTGTACGCTAATGAATCTTCAGGATTCTCATGCAGCCATTGGAAATTACCTAATGTTCCTTTGCTTGCCGATCTACACCCGAACCACCAGTAGGCCGTCGCCCTCGGGAACGCTGGGTCAGCATCGTCCACCTAAACACCGACCACAGTTGTTCAACTAAAGGTACGTTACTTTAATTCATTTAAACTATTTTAATCAATTATACTACATACTGCAAACGTGTAATCATACTTGTCGCAACATAACACCTATGTATGGAATAAAAAATCCTAGAAAGCACTTACGGCGAACATCCTATCGTTGAATCTATAATAAGCATCTCCCTTGAAGAAATAAGTGTAACCACGATAAACAATCGAGGCGTCAAGATTATCAGGAACGCCTTCCCAATTCGAGATCAATTTAGGATAAGTGTTCTTCACTGGTGGTTTCTGTGTGGGATCGAACCTCCAGAATTTGGTTCCCTTGTAGAAATAGATTTTACCGTTCCCAGTCCAAACGGTCACGGTATCGATGTTGTCTGGAATCCCCGTGAAACCTTCACTGATTTCCTTTGGGTAATCACCGTCCATTCTTTTACCCACATATCTCCAATATTTCGAGCCCTGTAACGACGTAATTGTTTACCATTTTTATGATATTGATCCAGAACGTAACAATGAATAGCTGTGTCAACAGAGGAGACATAGGTACAAAGAACATTAGATGGACCTTGTGAATTCTTTTGTCTTCTTACCTTGAAGAAGTATGTCTTTCCATTCTTGTACGTGAACGCAGCATCTATGTTCCCTGGCAATCCTTTCCATGAGTGAGAAATCAGTTTAGGATAACCCGCTGCTACGCCATCCGCGGTTAATCTCCAGTAACGTTCACCTGAAATTGAATTCGTATTTAGCATTTATCAGTTCTGGAGAGTTTGTAAATTTATAATTATGGGATCATAAGTAATAGTAGGTGTACATACCTTTGAACACATACATGTGTCCCTCAGCAGAATTGAACATCGTGTCGACCTTTGGATCCGTACAAAGTTCCGAGTCTTCTTCGCTAGGCGGTGCTACAGTGGTAGTTCCGAATCTTGGTCCAGTCGGAACACCACTGGTACTCACCGATTTCTTTCCATACAGAGCCTAACAATAAAATCATCGAAATCATCTACTTTATCCTAGCATGAGTTTGTTAAAAATATTTTTATTTTAGGATAACTAAGCGTTGTAACCAGATGTTTCACTTACCTGTATACCCTGAATATCGTCGTCGTCCAATCGGAAGTAGGGTTCGTAGCCACGGTAAAAGGGTGCCATCAGGGCAGACTTTATATCGCTATGACTCAAACCAAGGGAATGGCCAAACTCGTGAGCGGCTACTTGAAAGAGATTCGTTCCACGGAAACTGTCGATGGTCCATTGTTCGGCATCGTCGAAATGAGCATCACCGCCATAAACAGGGAAATAAGCATGTGCCAAAGTGCCACCAGGTCCGTCGAAAGGATCTCCGTCACCGTGTTCGCCTTTTTCGAATCTAATCTCGATGTGGACCTACGAAAAGTGATTCCATATTTACTTATCCGTCGTCTTTCATAAATTCCTGCTATTGTACTTCGACAATTTCTCACACCCCAAAAATTTTGTAAATAGTCGTAAATTTGTTTTGAGCTGCGTTGGCAATTTATCTTACCTGACCGGATTTCTTTTGAATGAAGACGAGATCCGTGTAATCCGACCATACTTTGAAAGCTTTGCTCAGTTCGGCGTCGACTTTGTGTTGCGGCAAATTTCGAGGATATTTACTGATCTTGTACGTCAGTTTCTTAACGCGCCATCTCGAACCTGCGCAAAAAATGACAACGCGTTAAATCAAAAATATTTGCGTCCGAGCGAAATTCGAAGCTTGTTTTCGACCGTTGATCATTCAGTAGATCATTCATTCAGTAGACTCAAGATATTCGACCTTCGATGATCGTCAGTATGGTGTTTTCATAATTTATCATTTTTAACAGAGAAACGTTTTATAACGTTTATGCGTTTATATAACGGTATACACCGTAATTACTGACAGACGTATATTTGCTTCCTTGTGCAACGATTTATTTTTAATCGTTTAGGCTCCGATAGATACGGTTGTTTGTTGAGTATATTTGGTGTTGTATTTTGTATTTGAAACAATGATTTTAATCGTAAATGAGAGCTGTTTGACGATATTTAGTTGTTCGATATATCACAAAGAACAAATTGTTCAAGATTGCCTCGTCATCTTATTACAAATCTATTATCTCCAGCAAACGACAGATCCAGTTGCAAGGTTCTACTGACCAAGGTCGACCATCATTCGTGTCTCTATTATTAATTCTTTCGTTATAGCGATTTGTAACCAAAATGCATTTGTATGCTATGCACACGTAAGACTGCAATAACAATTTTTACAGGCAAATATTAAAGTACACTAACTCGTTCATATAATTTAAGAATTATATTAAATACTTTGCAGTATGTTTGTTTATTCAATCGTATCGCGAATAAATCACGTGATTATGAAACGCCATGTTTTTAACGAATATTATTTTCTACCCGCGACTAACAGGAATGAACGAAATAAGAAATGCACTTTCTATTACGCTAATATTGTAATGTTCTTCCACGTAATTGGTTAATTCTGTCATTATTCAACCGGAAGAGTCATTTATTCTTCACGACGGTAATAAGAAGCGTGCGAAGAATGAATTTATTTTATACTGGAAATGTACAGTAGACTCTCGTTATATGGCTGCGAATGGTAGTAACGGAAAATTCTTGAAGTTGATGTGTTGGATTGGTTAGGTTTCAAGGTTTTTTTGTAATTGCAATGGGTTTACAGATTTTCGTATATCGCATGGCGATGTAACTTGTAATAATGCCGCTTGGTGATGTAATGCATGGGAACTGTAATACGTGGCGATATAGCGCGTGGGAAATAAAACGCGTGAAAATTTGAAAAAATGGTGATATAACGCGTGGGAATTACAATGCGTGAAGAATTCAAAAAATGGCGATATAATGCGAGTGAGTTGCAACGCGTAAAAATTTGAGAAAGTGGCGATATAATGCGTGGGAATTTCAACGCGCGAAAAATTGAGAAAATAGCGATATAACGCGTGGGAATTGCAACGCGTGAAAAATGTAGGAAATGGTGATATAACGCGTGGGAATTGCAACGCGTGAAAAATTGAGAAAATGGCGATATAACGCGTGGGAATTGTAACGCGTGAAAAATGGAGAAAATGGTGATATAACGCGTGAGAATTGCAACGCGTGAAAAATTGGGAAAATGGCGATATAACGCGTGGGAATTGCAACGCGTGAAAAATTAAGAAAATGGCGATATAACGCGAGGGAAATACAACCTGTGGCGATATAACGCGAGGCTCTACAATACGTAACAGAATAATGCATAAATTTCTATTTCCCACAATTTTCGAGAGTGTACTACCAACAGGTAGGAAAATCCCTCTAATGGCTATATAACGAGAGACTACTGTATTTCACTTTCCGGCCACTGTATTAATTTAATAAGTAATAGTAACACAATAAGCACAATAATACATATAAATAAAAATAGACTCAGTGGGTCACTTTTGACCCCGGTATTACGCGATGGAATTTCATAGGATGTATGGTTCGACGATCTCGTTCCGAGTTCACTGAATCGAGAAACGTTTTCGCGAGGTTCAAAGTCACGGCTAGGATCCATAGATCGAACCTCGATGATTCCTTGGTGATTTCAACAAAAATACCCGTGTTTTCTATGCGTCACTTATTGGTGAATCAAGAGCCGATGATTTTTTTATTTCCGGGAAGAACAGCTCTGTAAAAAGTGAATCGCCTTATAGGCTGTGATTAATTAGCGGGGATCGCTGTTATGGGAAAGTTCGCGTGATTTCTGTGATCATTGTTAATTAATGGGGGTCAAAGAACAATTCGTATGACTTTTGACGAATAAGCCTGGAAGGAAATTTTCTAGAATTTTCCATGAAAATTATCGAGAATTAAGACAAGAGGTTAAGTAAAGTAGTTTAAGAATTAAGTAAAGGTAGTTAACTGAGATTTTTGGAGATGTAGAACAAGTTCGATGAGTTTAAAAATGCATCGAGACCATCGAACGAACGGTTGCGATACAAATGTGCATGACCTGTTTAGGGTGAGTGACTTTACATTGACGGTAATGAGGCAGGAAGTCAAAAGTAACACCACTGTACTAAACAATCCTTCTACCGTGAAATATTCTATTGTTCGAGTCATTTTTTAAAAGTATATAAATACATTTTTATCCATTTTCTGTTATAATTGAGTAGTAAACAAGTTCTTCCTGGATTTTGAAATCTATGAAATTGTTGGATTTAATCATTGAAACACTGATGGATATGAGTGTTCAACTGAATTGAAATATCTATTTCATATTGGTAAACGTAGTACTTGTAATTCAGTACCAAAAATATGAATGGAAATGTAATATTTTTTCTATGTTTCAATCAGGATGAATTTTAGATCTTACACTTCGATATGTTTTATGGTCATAGTTTGATGTTCGAAATTCAACTTTCAGGCATCGATTAGATAATCGAATTGATTGAATGTTATGTCATGCGTTAAATCGTTCTATTATTTTGATCAAGCTCCAACAAAATCATCATCATGGAATTTTACGGAACTTGTGTTAAACTATTATGAATTTTTATAAGAAAACTAGAGAAAGACATCTTAGAGTATTATTCTTTTATTCTATTTACCTTGAAGAGCGTATCGCTTTGATCTTCCAAATCCAGGTCCAACTTTGTCCTTAACACCGCACCTGGGTAACTCCATAAGTTTAGATGTCTCTTCGTCGAAGTCTCCTGCAAAGACAATTGGTTTTTCAGAAAATAATATTGTAAAATAGGGAAAGAATGAAACAGTAAAATAGCAAAATATTTAAACAGTGAAATAATAAAATAGTAAATGGCAAAGTGAAATAGTGACTCAATAACTAAAAGTAATAAAATAGAGGTAGAGTAAGATTACATCGAATCATTGATAAAACCGTGTCACACATCTAATACATCATTCCCGTATCAAATGTAGGTTGAAATCGCGATTCTCTATCGATCCCTCGACCATGTATGCACGTTCCGTTTTCTATTCGCGATCATGCCTCGTGTGTTTCCTTGTATCTTGGTTGCATATGCATCGATGCAACGTATATGCACAATATGCAAAAACCTTAAGCTCCCCACACACCAAATCATTACCAATTTCTTACTAAAACCATTTTTACATTTTATATAAACAATTAAATCAGATTCCTTCTCGATTCTGTATAACACAGATTTTGTTCGGTTCGTACAGTTTTTCGATTCGAAAACAGGTGTGCGATTCTCTTTAATCGTCGTGTCACGTGCAAACGAGTCTGCTATGTTGCGACGATGGTCACGCGACTGGAAATTGCACGGTTTATTAATACTCCGAGTGGAAATTACGGTGTATTAACGGAACGATTGTCGGGATCGATTTGAATATGCTTAAGAATGATCGACTAGTGTCGGATGCGAGTAACGAGAATGGAGGTCAGGGTATCGGAGGAAATGTTCTGTATCGTGAATCATTGCTCTGCTTTTGGAAATTAATATTTATATGCAAACACTTTGTACATATGCACTGTAAGAGGACAGATATATGAACAATCTATTTGTAATTTAAAATGATGAGTGCATATTTATAAACCTTGATTACAAATATAAAAACTTGTACCATATTTTTATAAATCTTCAGTACAAATAAAGAGTATGTGTATTTAATTTATAAGGTGGAAAGTAGCCATACTAAAATTATTTAGAGGACGAAAATGTTCCACTACTAATATTAGAAAAAATAATAAAACAGTAAAAACTATAAAATATTAAAAAAATTCTATTAACATAATCATGAAAATGAAATGTAAATGTGTTACGTGTCTTGCACGAAGAGTATAAAAGAGCATCATGCAAAAATATCAATACGATGTTCCATTTAATTATGGAAAACGATGATCATTTGTATCGATAACAATGATTATGATAATGAGAGATTAGAACACAACTGTTTAACATGATACACGATGTATCAACCGATCACAATGCAGTCATCATTATCATACGAAACACGTAGGTAAAACCTTGTCGTTACAACAGCGATGCTTTCCTTTTGCCATTATCGGTTTTATCGTTTTTCTAGCCGCATAATTTATTCGGTAATGTATCATTTTTATGTACTCAAGTCCTGCCCGTTTCGAAACAGGAATTCCTTTGTTCTTATCGTTGGACTTCATTTTTAAAACAGTCCTCGTTCTTATCGATTACGGTTGTAAAACAATCATCTGAATAGAGTGAAGCAATAATACAGCCAGCGAAATCCTGTCTTCGTGAAACCCGACTTTTTTACCTGCATTTTGTAATGATCGAATTTTTGCGTCACAGCTCGTTCTGGTTGGAGAATCCATTCTCTGCTTATAAAAACAGACTCTTTGTCAATCCGTCGGATTTCGTACACATCTTTCCTATTTTAAATATTCGAACAAAGAGAGAAATTCTTGTTGTACTGTTTCGAATCACTGATTCAAATTGGTTTAAATCTCGTAAGTTTTGATTTATGTCGTAAATATAATTGAAGCGACAAGGCTAGAGTCATCATCACGTGAGTCATTTTTTAGCGCCACGAACTTCACACATTTCACCGAAGTCTGAGTCATTCGTTCGAAGTATCATCGAGAATCCGAGAGGATCTGTCGTTATTTTCCGGCGTACATTTCCGGTTTCCATTGTGAAAGTCATTATCTTATTTTCTTTCACATCTGAATGCTTTCAAAATACGTTTATATACCTTTTAGCATGTAATTTCCTTTTCATTTGGGTTTTTAATAAATTGTCTTCAAATTTCAACGAGTAGTTCCACAATGAAATTCTTGGTAAAATATTTTTACCTAGTAACAATCTGTGAGAGGTTCGATTTTTTCAGGTTTATGAATTCTGTTGATTTGAACATTTTTTATGAGAGTTTATAGTATTGGAAATTTCTAAATTTTTGAGTTTGAAAATTCGTAAGTTCTTAAGTTCGAAATTCATAAATTCCCAAGTTTGAAATTCATAATTTTTCAAGCTTGAAATCTCTAAATTTTTAAGTTTGAAAGGTTCTTTTCTCAACGTAAGAATCTGTGATATTAAAAATTTCGAAGTTCAACAATTTATAGGTCCAAAAATTTCACACCAAGTTACCCAATTTCTTAGCATACTCCTCCGCCACCTAAACCCACTAGTCAGAGCAAACAGGGTAAACCCCATATCTACAATTTCCCATACAGTCATTCACAGCTACCTAACTATTGCTACTAAATTAAACCAAAGTAGTTAAAATATCAGATAACATATTACACTTATCCTTGCTTCCCCAGATTCCAAATTAAAATTACACCCAAAATTCAATCACAATGAAAATACCAGACCGACACATATGAACTTGATACACATGATACATATGCGTCACGAGTGACATTATAGATGAAAGGATTAATCACTCAGAAAATCGCTCGTCGTCATCGATAACGTTATCACTAATTACCTCAGCACCTTCGCCACGAGATCCAAACCGGAAACAATAATTCGCTTCTTTGTTCGTCCGTGTCCGGCTTGTTTGCCGAGTTTACGGTGTGTCAAGGCTTCGAGCCTTGGCAATGCTTCTCGAAACGCTTGTTTTAATAGCTGTTGCTCGCTAAACGATTCTCGGCTACTCGGGACAATCTCTCAGACGGTGTTTGACATTCGTTCGTCGATTTTCCTCGCGTTTTACTTGCTCCTTTTTCGTTACGTCGATTTCTTTCTTGAAAATCACGCGTGTTTTCTGACCGTCGGCGTCCGGTCTTTCAAGGTCTAGGAACGTTAAAAATTAGCTCTTTATTCGGAGCCGGTCGGGCGAGTATATTGGAAAAGTGCATGTTCACGTGCACTTCTTTTTTTGCGTCGTAAATTAGAACGCTTCGAATATATTGCATTGGTTGTTTTTTTATTGGGGTTGTTTTGGCTGGGTATGATAATTGGCGTTCGGGTTTCTTTACCTTTGACGAAGGTGACTGGGTCAGACTGACCTAGACGTGGTAGCCATTGATTTATGGCTAATGTGGGATCTAAGAACTTTTAAATTTTGCTGTTCTGATGTTTTGAAACACTTTTAGTATCTTTTGGTCTTTTTAATATTTTGTGTCTTTGAGTTTTGATCAAGTCTAAAATTACTGACTCTACAAGTACTAGAATTTTAATGACAGTCTCAGGTCAAAGTCTTGAGTCCCAACATTTCAAAGTGCCAAAGTCTCAAAATCCAAAAGTTCCTTTCCCTCTCATTTCATAGACCATGTTCTACAATATCTAAGCATAAACCTTGAAACAAAACGCATAAACGAATTTTGAATTTAACTCACATCGCCATTACTCTAATCATGGACTAATTGCTGACGTGTCTCTTTAAGAAACCGACTTCCAGCGCTATTTGCTCAGTTCTTGAACTTAATACGCTCTTAACATCCTCGAACGAGTCAGTTTAAGCGCGATTATAAAACGCTCCGACACATTACCGGCAATTAGATCATAGATACCTCTCCGTCCCATATTTTCTCTGCGCTTATCTTTCTGTTCGATCAGATAGCGACACCTATTTTGTTCATTCAACTCGCTCGCTAATAATTATTCTCTCGTATGACGTTCTTTTGACGTATGGGAAACGACTTTTGGAATCGGACTCTGATACAACCTGGTATTATTTGTCACTGCGTATTGCAACTATGTAATTAGTTGCGTTGGATGTGACAAATTTTATGTTGTCCACGGTTTACATAGCTGACTGTGAGTCACGGCCGGCATGAATGAATGCATCCATCGGCATGATTCACACACAGGCACCCACGAGAATCGTTTAACTCAATTACGCTTGAATATGATAACGGGGATGGTAAATAAAAATTAATTGATAATAAAGAGATCGAGTTCTAAGCCGGTTAATTTCCGGTTGCGCTTTTTGCTGGTCGGTGACATTTTTTTGTTAGTGGTTTACTGGGAGTATTGTGGGACACTTCAAATATTAAGTTGGATTCAACTGCATCTCAATCATTGTTTTATTGGATTTGTATACTTTTGGATTATAATTTGTCTACATTAGAATATCACTGGTTTCTGGTGCCAAGTGTTCGTAGATGTCCCTAGATTTAAATATCTTTAGAATGTATTTTGATCTTATATTCTTGAGATCTAAATATCCCGATCTGAATGTACTTTGATTACTCCCATATTACCCACAGTACTTCCACATTTCTATTTCCCTAGGTATACCTTGTGACCTCAATATCCCTAGATTCGAGTTCTTCAAAATATTAATGTCCCCAGATCTTAGTACTCTTATAGTCAGAAAATGTTAATACATGCAAATGTTTCGTGTAGAGTTTTTGATAAACAGTTTTAGAATGCAACTCTTACCTGTTATGTTTAATCCAGCGAATGCTTGAAATTCTTTAATGGCTTTTGACAGCGTTTCTTGAGATATAATTCCACCGCTCGTTGGATTTATTGGTTGCAGGTAGCCAAATCGGGACAGGTAGTTCTGTAACAGAATGTATTCAAAATAAACAACTGTAACAACATGTAAATCATTATAAAATGTTCTGCATATTCTAGAGAGAAAAGTACTTGAAGAAATATTTACGACTCTTCCATCCATCATTTATTCTACTTTGTTTATTTATTCGTTTCAAGGAAACAAACTATACCGAGGTTTTATCAAAAAAATTTATTCCACGGTTTTGATAAGATTAGTATTCAGATTAGTTCAGAAATAGAAAAATGTATTCGGAAATAAAATACTGAGAAGATGCAGAGATTCCAGGGATTCAGATTTATCCTTGATCGAGACAAACTCGTTTCTAATTAATTTTATGCGAACGAAAGGAAGACCGTACCGCTAGATTTCGCACGTTGTCGAACTATAAATGTGACAGATGACGATGCCCGAGGGGATTGACCCGGCTAGCGACTATGCGGCGTGATACTGTTATTTAACCGCTTCGTGTAAAGGCAATTAATATTCTGGCGAATAAAAAACGCGGCTACGTGCTTCCGTCTTCCTTGTCTATCCTCCCGTGCTGAATCACTGGAAATTTTTTATCCGATCGCACGAATTTGAGGAGCTCTTTTCCTTGTTTCTTGGATAAACCACTTTCTTGATGATATTAATAAAGAACCATTTAAGTAAACAGTTAATTTTGTTAGTAACAGTTAATTCCTCTAAATTTATTGTAAATAAAATTCTTGCGAGAAAAAAATTCACTTCTCTTATTAAAATTTACAAATTAATTTTTTTGCAACAGAAACTTACTTCGTATCATCTGATCTTAATTTTTGAGCATTTTATGAAGAATGAAACTTTTCATTTATTTCTCACATGAATAATTGTTTTCACGTGAATAAGTTGATAATTGTTTGAAGATTTGATCTCTTATGAAATAATTAAGTTCATTTAATTTGCTTAAGTTTGTTCAAAAAGTTTGTTGAAGAGAAATGACTCATTCTGGACGAACTTTTTGTTGCACAACGATTATCCCTAATGGACAAAAAATGCATCGACACCGGAAGTCGATAAATAACCGAGTTAACAGAAACATTCTTTCAAGTGTGATGAGGCATCGATTATCGATAACGTTGTTATCCTAACAGCATTATCACCGATAACAAATATAATTTACTTATTAAAAATAATTATTGTTATCAAAACTGTATAGACATTTGGTGACGGACAAAATTGTACAATTATTTCATTACGCAAAACAGTGCCGGTGTTATTAGAGTTTCAGTATGTCCGACTACTCGCTAATTTCAATGAATTAAATTACAAGTGTAGCCTCGAACAGAGTTACATCGTGAGTCAGACAGACAAGTAGATAAAGGAGACATTCATTCGAACATATTTGAAGTGCATACGTTGATCCAGTGCATCCTTGCTGCACTCGAGGCAAATCCATCGAGACGAAAGCCTTGAATAACCATGATTCATCGTTTTAACCAGTGCACAATGGAGTTTTCGAAATTGTACTGAGGAGAAGAAAGGACATTTTTCAATTTTAATAGATTGAATGTTACAAAGAGAAAATTCTTGAAATTATCAATACAGGAAGAGCAGCTGGTAATGCAATGAAGAATCTGGAGATTTTTGGAGGATCTAGGGATTTGGAGAATTAAGGTTTTTAGTATATACGGATTTGGGATTTTTTGGATCGTGGATTCTGGGGATTTCGCGGCTCATGGATTTGGGATAAAGTGGTTTTGGAATTCGTGGATTTTGGGATTTATGGATTTGGGAATTTATGGATTTGGGGATTTATGGATTTGGAGATTTATGGATTTGGGGATTTATGGATTTGGAGATTTATGGATTTGGGGATTTATGGATTTGGGGACTTATGGATTTTTGGATTTATGGATTTGAGGACTTATGGATTTCAGAATCTAGGGACTTCTTCATGTAGAAATTTGTGGATGTAGAGATTTCATGATATAGGGATTTGGGAGTTCAGGGTATAGGAATTATGGACCAGGGAGTTTGATATTTCGAGATCTAGAATGCTGGGATTTTGTGGTCCACAAATTTGTACATCTGGGTATTTGAGATCCTGGGGTTCAAAATCCAAGAAATTGATATAGAGGGATTTATCTATCTAAAGAATTAGTATTTACTGATGTGATATCTAAGGAATTGCTATCTATTGACGTGGTATCTAAAAAATGAGCATTTAAAGATTTGAAAGTGTAGGAATGTAGGTCTTCAGTAATAAAGTAGCCCACCTAAAGATCCATAGATTTAGACCTAAGAAAGCAAGATACTAAAAATTCCCATTCCTATTTCACAGAACTACTTCCTACAACATTAAATTACTGCTAAACCAGTTGTTTTCGTTCCTTTTCATCCTTCGTCTCATTTATCTTCCTACCAAAATAGAAACCCGCTATAAAAGTGAGACCGTCATCAAACTTTCGACCGATCAAGAGTTCACGTACTCGATCCTCGGTTAGCAAAATTGGTTTTTGGATTTTACCGAAAATAGAATTCGGATTTCGTTGTTTTTTGTCCGTCACGTCTCCATTACGTACGTAAGGTTTTGTCCTTCGGGTTATTATTTTCGCCGCGGATGCATGGTACATTCCTTTCTAAACACGTAGAATTCGACCACGATTCCTTGAAACGAGCGTTTCAAGTGCACGCCGCTAGTTCGACGGAATCGTTATGTAAATGAGACGCTCTGCTCTTATGGATTATTAACTCGATACACCATACGGCCCCTCGAGTTCGACGAAAATAAACTTGGCCATTTGCATAGAGAAACAGAGAACTGTTTGCAACGGGAGTGGTTAATTTTGTTCTTGTTTTCGACAATAGCTGGACGATACGTGGACAAATGCACGAGGTCAATCTCTCTTTAAGAATTTAGCTTATCCTTCAACGATTCAGATGGTTTTATTCTGTCGCATAAATCAAAGGTGCATTTCAAAAATATTGCAATTTCAGTGCAAACGAAATTTTCATTGTTTCTTGGTTTTCAAATATGAATGTGAAAATCTAGAAATTTTATGAGCTAGGGATATTTGGGATTAGGATTTGGGGGATCTGGGGATATGAAAATATGGGGAATTGGGATCTGGGGATTTTGGAATCTTTTTTGGAATCTAGGGATTTCTAGAGATAGGAATGTTCGACTTTACGGATTTGACGATTTAGGGATTTTCGAATTTTGGGATCTTTGGATCTAGGAATTTTCGAATTTGGAGATTTTTGGATCTAAGGATTTTCGAATTTGGGGATCTTGTGATCTAGGGATTTTCTAACCGGGGAGTTTTGGATCTAGGGATTTTCGAATTTGAGGATTTTTGGATCTAGGGATTTTCGAATTTGGGGATTTTTGGATCTAGGGATTTTCGAATTTGGGGATCTTTTGATCTGGGGATCTTTGGATCTGGGAGGGTTTGACCTAGTGATTTTTTTATCTAGAGATTTTGATCCAAGGATTTTTGGATCTAGAAATTTCTAGAGATTTGACGATCTGGGTTTTTCGAATCTAGGGATTTTCAGAATTAATAATTTTCAAATCTGTGTTTAATTGGTATCTAGGGATTTTGGGATACAGAAATTCGTATCTTATTCTCTGGTTTTGGAACTTGCGAATTTAGGAATTTTTTTATCTTGAAATTCAAGGATCTAGAAATTTGAAGATCTCGAGGTAAATTGATCTACAGATCTTTGAATTCAGTGTTAAAATTCAGTTTTATATCTGGAGATCTGTGGATGTAATAACTTTTTTGATTCACAGACTTGGAATGTCAAGATCATAGACGTTCATTTAAGATTTAAATCGTCTCGCACCTCGCAACAGCCGACGAATAGGTAACGTAGTCTCGAAAACGTTTCGTAACGCGAGTCTGACGAATCTCCGTCATATCCCGGTGAGCAGAGCGCGAGTTCCAGGAACGTCGTGATTTTTATGAATGAACGTAAGTGGAGTAGGCTCGACTCGTAAGCAGCGTGTGTCACGCGTGAATGGACACTCCTTGGGACGCCTTCGTAGTAGAATAGTATACTACTCTCTGGTCGTGGGCGCGCACCACGGTGGAACTACGATTCTGATTCATCCGTGGGTTCTTTTTTCTTTTTCCACCGATTTCGATCGTCATTCAGACACAGGTAAAATTCGAGGATTTCGCGTTAAAGAAACGTTAATCGATTCGAGTAGGCCGTAGGAATCACTATGGGTGACTCACGCATACTTCGGAGATAAGTGTATATTCTTTTATTGATTGATTTTATAAATAGACGGTGGTTTTTAATAATTGTAATGATCTTTAGTGTGCTGTAATTATTGAAGAATTATGCATTGCTATAATTCGTTGAAACTGTTGAATATTATGTTTATTTATCACAAATTTGATCTTTTTTAAAACAATGCTAATTGTACTGTAATTCATTTAAAGTATGTAATATTGGAATTCTGATTTTGTTAAATAAAAGAATATCTGGTAGTGAGTGAATTCCAACGAGTTAATATTTCATAAGAATCAGCTAATGGAAGGCTTATTGGATTTGTAATATGGATGAAATGAAACAAATTGCGCGATTAGATACACAAGACTCTCAGTTTCTTCTCGGTTCGTGACGAGCAGATTCTTCGAGACAACGTGACAAATCGCGGGTGTGTTTAATCACGGATATTATACAAGCTTCCTATTGTATCGTCACAATTTTTCGATATCTCTTACGTATTACATTATTTGACTTCATACGTAAATCAGTATATTTATAAATTGAAACAAAGAATTTTATTTGCTGGAGCACAGATCAGTTTCTTATTTATTATTGAAATCATTGATGCACATTTTACATTTTTTTTTTAGTAATTTTATATAATATAATAAAGTAATGTACTAATTTTATACAATATAATAAAGTAATATAGTAATTTTATATAACATAATAAAGTAATTTAGTAATTTTATATAACATAATAAAGTCATTGAGTAATTTTCTATTATATAATAATAGAATCGTTACTATAACAGTAA